AACCCCCCCCCCCACCACACACACATACAATCAAGTTTCTGTTACCACTAATAGTCTCATGTACAGCAAATGAGAGATAACAGTACTATTTCCACATTTCCACGATCCAGTGATTTTTTCGTCTCTCAAGTTTATTTAATGACAGTGTAATAGTATCTTCAATATATTTCAAGATTAGTGATCTAAATATGGGGTATCTCTCTAGGTTTATACTCTCTAAGTTTTTTTTCAAAGCTTGATGAGTAGGTGTAATCCATGCCATGCGTTTGAGGTGCGTCTGAATATATTTTGGCTGTAACTTTAAAAAACTTGATATAAAAGCACAAAATATGTTACACTGTATTAGCAGATCTGCAAAGTAAGTCAGATTTTCACTTATTAAAATCATTACATTATCACGTTTAGTTTATTCATGCAGAGTTAGTGTCATATTTTATACTTTTATATAATTTATGTTTTGAATAGCTTTTACTATTTCATTCATTTGCTTTCTGCGTAATCAGAACCTGTGTACTTTAATCATAAGGATCTATTGTCAAATAATGCAACTTGAACTTATTCACCTTTGGTAAATTATTATATATTCAGGATTCTGGCTGAAAGTAGCCATATATAAAACAACAAATATATTATGCGTTTTTAGATTAGTTAGCATAAATTCATTTACAATAATTATTGTAATCTTACTATCTTCTGTCAATTAGTGAATGTAACTTTATCTTTGAGTGATGTACTTTTTTACCAAACTCATTTGTCATCAAAGTAGCTTCATTTAACATCAAGTGATGCTAAACCAACCAGTCATGCTTATAAGGGGTCTCTTTTTCCGTTGTTTACATGTTTGGTTGCGTTACAGAACCTTCAGGTAAATCTCATGATAACTTATGTTAGTATGTACGTACATAGTATAACATTTGAATAGTAATAAACACTAATATCTATTGTCTATTTATCCAAACAATTACTGAAAACAAAACGTGTTATGGTGGAAAATTGTATTGAACACAGATTCATTTAAAGAAATTTTGTAGAACGTCAATAATCCTAATAATTAATTTTATAATTTTTAATTAAGACAATATTAATGACTAAATTTTTTTAACTTTTTTGGTTAATGACTCTTCACTACTTGGAATGAAAAATTGAAGTATTCTTCTTTGTTGTTGTTGTTAATTGTCACTTTTGTTGTTCTTTTAAAATTGGTTGTTTATTCTCAAAATAAGATAGCTAACTTTATTTGAAGTTAAGCACAAAGCTACACAATGGGCTATTCGGGCTCTGCCCACCACGAAATCCGATTTCTAGCGTTGTAAGTCCGCAGACATATCGCTACGCCCCTGGGGGGAGGGGGCGGCAGATAGCCAACTAGTTTCTAGATTTGATACGTGGTCTGACTTACTTACCTTAAATCATATTTATCAAATTAAGGATCCCATTCTTTTTTTTTCCTTCTACGTTCAGAAATAGTAATTAGGAAACTAATGTAATTCAGAGGTTGTAATCGCTGACATTTTTCATCCTTTAAAAAATTACTTTTAATGCATTTTAAAAAAGACATTACTTTCTTTATTTAAATATTCTCATTTTTTTGGCCATTTGTCATCTAAGTAACCACAGGTGAAAACAAGATTTATTTTATTTTTTGAATTATTAAATGCCTTAATAAAAGTACACATGGAGTACTTTTCAAACCCTTCTTGTCGCCATATTTTCACACACCAATGTGGATTTCTTTTTCTATTTGTAGTTTAGATTTTCCAGAAGAAAGATAAACCAAACCACGATTTTTTTTTGTTGTTGTTGTTGTAAGTAATTGTATGAATACAATAGAAACGTTGCTATTAATTAACAGTCCAGTGAACATCGCACTAAAATCTCGGCCTTAGATAAATAATAATCATTTTGAAGTGCCACAAAATGGAATTTTAAGTAACTGACTAATCATTATTATTGACAGATCAGCATTTTTATGCTTGATATCAAAATAAAGTTACTTGATATGGCTGTTATATCCTACGATATCGGATATTGGCATATCTAGTCATTACGATTCCGTCGCTCGGGACACTTACATTAAATATTGTATTATTTCTTAAGAAATTAATCAAATGTGCTCCAGTTAGAAGAGGAAAAAATACTTCATTGACAGATAATGTTGGTTAAATCTGATTGCAGCTATAATCGTCAAGAGACATCTTTGGCTGTTACAATCAAATAGCTTATTCGATAGTAAGTTGTTATTGGTTTGTTTTTTTTTAGTATTTTTTCATAATGTCAATGATATTGCAGGGGAGGTGTGTGATTGAGTATGTGATAATAAATGTGAAATACAGCTGCTCATGTTAAATGCCGTTGCTCTTTG